GACCCCAAACCAAAATGTTTCGAAATTTACTCAAACCCACACTTTTTGCGTGACACCAATAGTCTTCTCTCCCGGCCCAGTCCGCTAGAAATAGTAAACCCCCAAATTTTACAGAAAATATCTACCTGGATGAGGACTAACAAACTTACACAAACATTGACAAAACTACTTCATTCAGTTGGTAGCAGGCTCAGATTATCCTTAACTAACGATAAACGGTCACCTATACAAAGCTATCAGAGGGAAAAATTTTTAGGAATCCACCTCGATAAAGACTCAAATTTATACACATATACAACAAATTTCTAAGAAAATTTTCCCAAGACTGTAGGCATACTTCGAAGATACGGGTTTTATGTTCCCCGCAGCCCCCTGGCCCCCTTTTCACTCTCTTTTTTACCCCCATCTCCCTATGGAATTTGTGCATGGGGCTCAACAAAAAATAACCATCTCAGAACCACTAAATTACCCACAAAACTGCAGTTAAATGATAACAATTCTCATACACAGCACACTCCACCAATATTCAAAAACTCAACCTACTCACCATACAAAAAAAATCCTACTTTATTGCACTTATTCATACTAGAACCTTAACTCTGATATTAACCCCCCCAAACATCTTTCCAAACCCCAACGAACACATGACCATAATACAAGGCACAGATCACTTTTGATGTTTCCCCGTGTCCATCTCACGCTATGCAAAAACTCAATGCACAAAAAAGGCCCTAAAAACTGGAATTCATTTCCTTAAAATATAAAAGAAACACACCTGTTTATAAATTCAAGTCTCTCTCAAAGTTCACTTTACTCACTCAAAACCAAATAAATACTAGAATAACTGAACATATAAATTGTATATCCCTAATGTTACTCACGAAAATATATCACACAAATGTTAAACCTAACTTTGTTATTTTTTTTTAAATATACACTACCTAACCAGAATACTCCATTCTACTGAAAAGAACAGCACTGCAAGCAACCATATGACCTGTCTATTTAATACTCATTTGTATTTTAAAGTTATCCTGTTTACAATAATGTCTTAATCACTGATTTCATCATTGGCTTAGATAATCTTAAGTTAATTTTAAGCCTCCCGTATGCTAAGCATATAAGTGGCTTTGCCGCATGCCTAGCTCTTACCTGTAATTTTTTGTACCTATGTTTTTATGCTAAATTTAAAATTCTAAATAAATACATAAAAATAAATTACATGCATACATAATCTCACTGGGAGACAACAAACTATAATGTTTACCGTAGTCCACCCCGTGTAGACATGTGAGAAAACTGAACCACCTATGTTCACTGCCGGTGGCCCCCATCGACCCTACACAACTCTTATCCATATCCCCCCACCTTTAAAAAAAATCCGAGACAGTATAAAATGGATAGCACCCACAAGTACGTCGGCGCTACTAATTAAATTGTGGACTTATAGCTATATTAGTTTAACTGAATGAAGGGATGGGGGAGGTTACACAAGGATAAATCCCATCAAGGAAAAACGCTTGTACATAATCCCCCACCAACTTTAACCAGAAATTCACTGGTGGTCACTTGAATTTGCTGATCACTCCAAAACCTATCCAAATACAACATACCTAACTGCCAGTATCAGTCTGCTACTGGCCAGTTAGGTTACTTAACTTTTGGGTTACTTAACTGTGGGTCATTGTTTGCTCCTTATTTCCTCCATTCACCATCACATTTCGATGTCCTGCTAACACCGACACGGTTCTTATTCCAGCAGGACAGGTATCCGTTGGTTTGTCCCGGTTTAGAAGTCGTGACTCCATAAAAACTTCACTATCCTCGAGACAGGAACAGAGAAAACAGATGCTCACTCTGAGAACGGCGACTCATTTCACTTCACACTTCCTTAACTTGTGTTATTATCACTGATTACTTCTTAGCCCACCATCGGTTTTAAGGGTCTCCTAATTATTATACACATTGAGAGGCCACTCCATTAAGATCTGAGACCGATGAGTGATGTTTAAACCACAGGTATTTTTTCCCTGGGACACAGTCAATGCTCCATGGCGATGCGCCAGTCACCCCCGGTCTTACCATTATTCACTCATTTTAACCACTTTAATTACGCAGGTCCCGCAAATCACGTCCTTCCCACTCTTCACCAGGAACAGTTACAACACTTCCTATTATGAAGTGAGGCCTATATTAATCCTTAGGCCGCCGTGAACGCCAATTTCCTGGCCCCCATGTTTTTCACACCCTCCTCACTACATTCAAAAAACTCCCGCCGCGTCCTTTCCCTGAGTCGACCTGTCCCCCGCACATCACGCAGGCGCAAAAAGGGAACCCTGTTGTTCTATTCAAAATACAATTTAGAACAACAGTAATGCATTAATCATGTATATTTACATTATAAAAAAATATACAGTATAATTAGGGGAATTTTTTTTTTCTACACTGCCGCCGGGCGGAGGTCGTTGTTAGACGACTTAAATAACTGGAGTACAATTTTCCCCATCTCCACTGGCCACCGGGCTTGGGAACTCCAACACTGGTATTTACATAATCCCCCATTAATTCTTTCCACCTGTTAATTCCTCAGGTAGGCTCCATCCAAAGCACACTCAAGCTTCCATGCTTCTGGTATTAACAGTTTCCCTCTTATTGTAAGGTGTGACACTAAGCCTATGCTCTCTGGGTTAATTTATTGGGCATACTGGAATTATGAGACTTTAACGATAACAAGTCTCTCTCAGTGCCCCAAGTCAGCCCCAGCACATTACTGCATATAGGCACTTCAACCCCAGGGCTATCCATATTTATTGATCCCTCAAAATGGACTAATTACTGTTCCATTCCCTCAGGGGCATAAGCCTATGCTCCCTGGGTTAATCTATTGGGCATACTGGACTTATGAGACGTTAACAATAACAAGTCTCTCTCAGTGTCCCAAGTCAGCCCCAGCACCTTACTGCATATAGGCACTTCAACTCCAGGGCTATCCATATTTATTGATCCCTCAAAATGGACTAATTACTGTTCCATTCCCTCAGGGGCATCCTTGCACTATTTCATTAACCCCTTCACATATCCTCATTAGTTCCTCTTCAGTTGACGTCCAAAACCCGGAAATTGTCACATAAGATTATTTACCCAATTACTTCGCTCAGTGGACCACCTGTGCACTTTAAAGGGGTGCATTTATCGTCCGCCGGGAAATAGGAACAATTTATTATTTAATTGTTTATTAATTATATAATTATAAGCAGTCAACAATTTTGGTGTCTTGCTCAGTTCGCAGAGCTGGGCCCTTCAAATGTCCATACGCCATCCTATAAAAGTAGGTAATTCGGACGGTTGAGCTTCCACGGAAGTCGCACCCAGTAATGTCCGATTCACTTTTTAACACCCCTTTCAGGTATTGTTCCTGATAATGGATTCATTTGGACTTTCCTCATTTATATTAAACCCCTATGCTGCCCAGCTCCCACAAATTAGACGGGTTCAACATCACCCTCGATAGAAGAATACTTGTACTGGGTTGACCTTTCATGAGTAAGACACCGTGACTGTATTTACTACTTCCTCTAGTCATTATTACTAGGCAGTAGTCTCCATATATTACTTTGGCCCGTACCAGTGTTGAGGAGTGACCCCAAACATGGTTTTCGATTTACCCTTTATCCTAAATTATTACATCCAACACCGGCAAGGCTACCTTAGCTAGGCCATCATTATTGCCATTAGCTGCAACCTTTACCTCAGTCACTGTAGTGCCCAGGGTTATTAACATTATCATTATTGTCACCATATTATAAGAATTACATACAACCCTGCACATAACTGAAAGGGGCCCTTCCCTTGTTGCATTGTAGCAACTGTTCAATTTGGTATGACAATCCTTTTACATTATGATTGTCTAGACATCTGATAAATCTGTCAAGTTCTTTCATTCTTTCCACTTTAATATCCCACGAATTACAGGCATTACAATTTTTAGTGAAATGAGTACCCTTGCAGAAGAGACAGTCTCTCTTTCCTTGCCTGACCTCTTATTAACTGGGTTACTCTTACTGAGGTACTTATTCCTCTTACTTTGGGTGTGAGGAACCACCCATTACTGAATCCCGTCACTTGATATGTGCCTATTTTAACTCTTAATTATGATTATTATCACTGGGATTATTTTTCCCTTTTTAGACTTCAGAGTCATATTGTTTATATCCTTAGAACTGTTTGGCTGACTGGTCTGCAATTTTTAAACAAAGGTTATGTAATAAAGCTACAGAAATAAAGAGTAAAGCTACAGGAGGAAAGTGATATCTTGTATAGTTACATTCGTGTAAATGTTGAATTCAAAGCCTATCGACTACACTAGCCATTAAGGCTGTATGCAACCTTTTCATCACCAGACATGAATACTCCAAACCCTAAAATAGGGATTAAGGGAAACTCTCAGCATATATACGCTGAGAGAAACACGCTCTCATGTAATATCCTGAGTCATTTATTTCTACTGTAATTCATTTTTTGTGGCCCGTGGCCTGGTGGCTAAAGCTCTCGCTTCAAACGGCGAAGTCTGGGTTCGATTCTCAGCGAGGGTAGAAACATTAGGCGTGTTTTTTTTACACCGGGTTTACTATGTGGGTCGCATCCCGAGACAAAAACTGACCCCAATTTGCCCGAAATGCTCTGAGAGCAAAACAAGCGGCTTGCTAATGGTAGTATGTCATTGATGTCAGCTAGGTCCTATACCATGTACATTGTACTGTAGTAAATAAAGATAATTATATAACGTTTCTTTCATGTCGAGCTTCTATAGGGCTAAATAAGCAAGTTTCCCCAGACACATCCATTACCACAAAAGAAAACGTATGTTTTGATCTTTCTCTTTAAGATATTATTTACATTACCACGACGAAATGTCGACCAATCAAAAGGAAAGATATAAAATTATTTAGGATTTGACTGGCGGCTTGGTAATACCCGCTGTAACCTATATGAGTTTTCAGTCAGGTGACATTCAGCTGACAGAAGTAGCAGACGCTGCTTGACTGGTGTGTCAGGTGACATCCAGGAACAAAATATCTCCAGGAACAGAGAGAAGGATCTCTAGGAGCACAGGATCTCCTGGAGCACAGGATCTCTTAGAGGGAAAGATCTGCATGTGCAGAGGAAAGATCTCTGGAAGCAGAGGAAGGATCTTCAATAACATAGGAAAGGATCTCCAGGAATAAAGGGAAGGATCTCCAGGAATAAAGGGAAAGATCTTCAGGAGCAGAGGAAGAATCAACAGTAACAGAAGAAAGGATCTCCAGGATCCTCTCAGGAGCAGGGGAAGGACCCCCAGTGGTGTATGGGAGTAGAGTGAAGGAGGTGGTTGAAGGATCCATCAGGATGCTGGCGGTGCTGATCTTCGACCAGCTTAATGATGTGGTGTACCTGCGTTGTGATCACAAGTTTGTCAGACATGTGTGTACCCTGGCAGCCTCACAGGGGCTCCTCCCTCACCATCTTGACCCACATCAGGTAAACCAATGTAAATCTTATTTTAATTGACATTAAACACTTTTATAATATGCTACATGTTATACGTGGAAAAGTACATAGTTGTGAAATTCTAGATATTTACAGTGTTTCTTCTTGTTCTTTATGATCATGATCCAGGGAATTAGAATTAATCATCTTTAAGTCAAACCTTATTATCTCTTACTGTTCAGGTGTACATAACCCCTATTAATGCCCAGGGGAACCTGGACATTAATTTAAATTTTACAATGCATCCAATTTAATAGAGTTCAGTTTATAATTAATGACCAAAATCCTCTGAAAGGCAGTTGTCTATTATAACTAATAATTTTATTTTTTAATAAAAAATTTTTACTGAAAATATAATTTTTTCCATTCATTAAATTTATCCTGGATTACCTGGACTTTACCTGGAGAGAGTTCCAGGGTCAACGCCCCCACAGCCCAGTCTGAAACCCAGGCCTCCTGGTGGATCAGAGCCTGATCAACCAGGCTGTTAATGCTGACTGCACGCAATCCAACGTACGAGCCCAGCCCGGCTGGTCAGGTACCGACTTTAGATGCCAGCTTGAAGACTGTCAGAGGTCTTTTGGTAATCCCCCTTATGTATGCTGGGAGGCAGTTGAACCAGTTTTGGGGCCCACTGACACTTATTGAATTGTCTCTTAACGTGCTAGTGACACCCCTGCTTTTCATTGGGGGGATGTTGCATCGTCGCCAAGTCTTTTGCTTTTGCTGTGAGTGATTTTTAGTGTGCAAGTTTGGTACTAGTCCCTCTGGGAAATTTTCCAGGTGTATATAATCATGAATCTCCCCGCCTGCGTTCCAGGGAATACAGGTCAGGAACTTCAAGCGCTCCCAGTAATTGAGGTGTTTTATCTCCGTTGTGCGCGCCGTGAAGCTTTTCTGTACATTTTCTAGGTCAGCAATTTCACCTGCCTTGAAAGGTGCTGTTAGTGTGCAGCATATTCCAGCCTAGATAGAACAAGTGACCTGAAGAGTGGGCCCTCATGGGCTTGACATCCCTAGTTTTGAAGGTTCTAATTTTCCATCCTGTCAATTTTCTAGCAGATGCGATTGATACAATTTAAAGGGCCTTGAAGGTGAGATCCTCCGACAAAGATCACTCCCAGGTCTTTGATGTTAGTTTTTCGCTCTATTTGTGGCTGGAATTGTTTGTACTTTGACGAAGTTTTAATTTCCCCTTGTTTACCTTATCGGAGTAATTGAAATTTCTCATCGTTGAACTTCATATTGTTTTCTGCGGGCCCGTTGAAAGATTTGGTTGATGTTCGCCTGGAGCTTTGCAGTGTCTGCAATGGAAGACACGTCATGCGATTCGGGTGTCTCTGCAAAGGAAGACAGGGTGCTGTGGCTGACATCCTTGTCTATGTCAGATATGAGGATGAGAAACAAGATGGGAGCGAGTACTGTGCCTTGTGGAACGGAGCTTTTCAACGTAGGCGCCTCGGACTTTACTCTTTTGACTACTACTCTTTGTGTTCTGTTTGTGCGGAAATTATAAATCCATCTACCAACTTTTCCTGTTATTCCTTTAGCACGCATTTGTGCGCTATTACGCCATGGTCTCATTTGTCGAAGGCTTTTGCAAAGTCTGTATATATTACATCTGCATTCTTTTTGTTTTTTGGTGCATCTAGGACTGTGTCGTAGTGATCCAATAGTTGAGACAGACAAGAGCAACTTACTTAGTCTAAACCCATGTGCCCTGGGTTGTGTATTGATGGTTTTCTAGAGGGGTGGCGATCTTGCTTCTTATGACCCTTTCAAAGATTTTTATGATAGGGGATGTTAGTGCTATCAGTCTTAGTTCTTTTGCTATTGCTTTACTGCCCCCTTTGTGGAGTGGGGCTATGCCCTGTTGTTTTTAGTAACTGTGGGACGCCCCCTGTGTCCATGCTCCCTCTCCATAGGATGGTAAAAGCTCGTGATAGGGGCTTCTTGCAGTTGTTGATGAACCCGGAGTTTCCACGAGTCTGGCCCGGGGGCAGAGTGCATGGGCATGTCATTTATCGCCTGTTCGAAGTCATTTGGTGTCTTGATGATGTTTAAGCGTCGTCGAGACCACTAACTTTGCGAGAGCATAATTCCGAAAAGTTTCCATCAAATTTCATATTTCTGGTGTCATTATGATCGGGAAAAGATTCTCTATTTTTTCGTAAGAAAAAATAATAATTTTTTTTTTTTTAATTTTGGCGACCCTGAGAACAAGTCTCTGAGAGGGCCTGGCGACCCTCAAAGAGTTAAAGGGCCCAATAGAAATAAGACAGTCCACAATGACAGACTGACTTTATTGACTTATTATGGGTGGCTGACCCTCAAGGTTAAAAATGCAAACAAATTCTTACAAATACCTGTGTAAAAATGTCGAGGGACTAATGAAAATAAGTCATATTTTCTGCCTTTATTGAATTATCCTGGGTTTATTATAATTGTTATTATTATTATTATTGTTACTGTAATCAAGGGAAGTGCTAAATCCATTAGGGGCATGTAGGACCTGGGGGAAATGGGAGTGGAATCCCCTTTGACCCAAGCCCTATTTTCGGCTAATTCCAGTGTACTAGTTGACAAAAATCATAACTATTTTGCTAGAACTCTGTTTTTTCTATCGAATGAGTACAAGAAACCACCCATTTACCTATTTCAACTATCCAATAAAGTGGTCAGAATTTAGCAATTTTGCCAATTTCACACAAGTTTCAAAAGATGCCAATTTTGAAATAGTGTCCAGAATAAACAAGAAAGACATTCCTGGCACTAAAATAACATTTCTTTTGTTCATTAGTCACATCCCCATGCCCCTCTTACATTTCTTTTGCTTTCCACTTTGAATTTTTATTCTCACAAAAAATAGAAGATTTACTGTTATGCAGACTACTGTATTAGTGTAGAAATGGTGTAGAAATGGTATAAATAATACCAGCGCACTTGTGAAAGAATATTAGATTCACCAGTTGACATGTATTGGACACGTGGCATGATTTGTTTACTTTTGAACTTTGTAAAAAATCGAACATTTCTGCTACTCTGAGCTCAATTTCAAGATAATTTTCATTGTGAAACCAATCAGAATTATCTCAATTTCTGTAATATGTCTTCCATTCTATAAAATAAGACCAGGAAAACTAGAATACAACCATAAATACCATATGAAAATACAGTGCAAAGTCAGTTTTAAACCAAAAACATGGTGAAAGTTTTTTTTTCTCATTACGCACTGTGTGCCTGTGTGCTGCAGGATTTTTTTTATACTGCGCACACTGACCACATAGACCCATTCTTTCATATGTAGGCCTACCAGCTTTCTCTTGCTAGATTTGAGGGCGCTAGAATTTATGCGTACTATTACGTCAAAAACCCTGGAGCGTAAGCCGTACTAGTACGGCCGAAACCCTGAAAGGGTTAATCTTGTCCTCCATGATGTGACCCACAACAGTCGACTAACACCCAGGTACCTACTTGCTGCTAAGTGAGCAGGGCAGCAGGTGTAAGGAGACTTGCCCAATGCTTCCATCTGTGCCAGGAATCTAACCACGGACATTCAGCATGTGTGCTGTGTGCTCTATCAGTAACCATATTAACATAATTCGTAAATGTCTGTCTGATTAGTGCTGCATTATGACCATGTTATCAGTACAAGAAATTATTGCTCTTTGTTTCTCCAGCTTCATTCATTAGGTATTTAGCTCAAGTTATAAATTGATTTATACTACGATGACCTTTATTTGATCAGTACCCTATTCCTATCCTTTATTGTTGTATATTGTAATAGGTGTTTGAAGCCTGATAACCCACTGTGGGTTCCTGACCTTAGTTCTTAACCTTTACAAAATTTGAAGGAAAGTATTCTGAACAATGGTTGTTAGTAATTTTGTATACATGGTTTAATTTCAGCTGCTTGACTATCTACTATTAGCATTTGCAGTTTTTGTAATTCATCCTGACCTGCATGTGTTTTCTTCATCTTATTTTGGGTAATTTGTAATCCATTTCAGCTTTTTTGTTAAGGCAGAGTACCATGAAGGACATGAGTAACCTACATAACATTGTATAGAGCTCAACATTGGTTTTGCATGCTTGAGCTGGAAGGTAATGCATCTGTTTATAGAGAAAGTTTAACCTGGTATTTTTATTTTTCTACACTGTTAACCCTTTCAGGGTTTCGGCCGTACTAGTACGGCTTACGAGCCAGGGTTTTTGACGTACTAGTACACCTAAATTCTAGCGCCCTCAAATCTAGTGAGAGAAAGCTGGTAGGCCTACATACAAGAATGGGTCTATGTGGTCAGTGCGCGTGATATAAAAAAAATTCTGCAGCACATAGTGTGTAATGAGAAAAAAAAAACTTTGACCATGTTTTCGATTTTTACCAAAGTTCAAAAGTAAACAAATCATGCTATGCGTCCAATACACGTCAACTGGTGAGCTTAATATTCTTTCACTAGTGCGCTGATATTATTTATACCATTTCTACACCAATGCAGTAGTCTGCATAACAGTAAATCTTCTATTTTTTTGTGAGAATAAAAATTCAAAGTGGAAAGCAAAAGAATGTAAGAGGGGCATGGGGACATGACTAATGAACGGAGGAAATGTTATTTTAGTGCCAAGAATGTCTTTCTTGTTTATTCTGGACCCTATTCGGAAATTGGCAACTTTTGAAATTTTTGTGAAATTGGCAAAATTGCTAAATTCTGACCACTGTATTGGATAGTTGAAATCGGTAAATGGGTGGTTTCTTGTACTCATTTGATGGAAAAAATGGAGTTCTAGCTAAATAGTTATGATTTTTGTCGACAAGTACACTGGAATTGGCCGAAAATGGGGCTCAAAGTGGGCAAAATCGCCGATGTGTAAACATTGTCGAGACCACTAACTTCACGAGAGTATAATTCCGTAAGTTTTCCATAAAATTTCATACTTTTGGTGTCATTATGATCGGGAAAAGATTCTCTATCTTTTCATAAGAATTTTTTTTCTTTTTTT